GTGCACGTTAAGTAGCAATATAAATGGAAATTAGGAAGTGCAGTGTTGAGGTGAGAGAGGGCAGAGAAACAAAAACCAGCCGTAGCTCACAATGATAATCAACAGTTCAGTAAAAATCCCCAAAAACATGAAAATAAAACCTGCAGTCAAACCTCCTGCGCCTCCTCACTGCTGGTCTTCCTCTCGACGTACAAACGACAAATCAAAGCCAAACTGAAGAGCCACTTGTTTCACTCCAAGACCAGCCTGAGATTTTTGATGGATTTTTTAAAAATTATTTCTGTTTGAAGAAGCACCAGTGGAGAGCTGCTGAAGAGACGAAGACTCTTTTTATGTTATTTTTACAGGATTTCCTCTTTACCTCCTGTGATTAAAAAACAAACATCAGAGGAGAGATTACAGGTGGACGCTCCCTACCACAAGTTTAATTTTTTTACCGTATTTCAGAAAATGTACAATAAAAACATTTATACTTTTATTCTTTTATTCTTTGTCATTTATAGACATGATGTTTAAAAAAACATTCCAACAGGAAAAACCACCTGTGAAAATGTAATGTACACATGTATGGTGTCCAGTGTTGTGTGTGTGTGTGTGTGTGTGTGTGTTGACAGCTAATTATCCGTGTGTGTGTGTCGCTGAGGTCACAGTTTATGTTATAGACTGTCAGTGCAGACAAATGATGATTCAATCTCTGTCACGTCAGTTTCAATGCACCAGGTCAACACACACACACACACACACACACACACACAGTCAGCTTTGCTGGGACTCAGACAGGAAGTGAGAGAGAACAACAGCGGCGTCTAATCATTTCTGTCACCAGTGTAGTTTCACTCCGACATAAAAACCAGTTTGAATCTTTTCTCTTCTCCCCTCGTCTCTAATACTCTGCAACTAATACTTTAAAACGTCGCCTCAAAGGACAAAACTTTCACAAGTATTCTGAAAACAAAGACAGAGAGAGAGAGAGAGAGAGAGAGAGGTCAGATAGAAGACAGATCGACAGAGATGTGACTAATGTGTGGCTGTGATTGTAATCATCTAAATTAGACGATCTTAGATCATGACACAGTTTAACCCAGATTTGTCGACTGTATTTGTCGACTGTATTTGTGGACTGTATTTGTGGACTGTATTTGTGGACTGTATTTGTGGACTGTATTTGTGGACTGTATTTGTGGACTGTATTTGTGGACTGTATTTGTGGACTGTATTTGTCGACTGTATTTGTGGACTGTATTTGTCGACTGTATTTGTGGACTGTATTTGTCGACTGTATTTGTGGACTGTATTTGTGGACTGTATTTGTCGACTGTATTTGTGGACTGTATTTGTCGACTGTATTTGTGGACTGTATTTGTCGACTGTATTTGTGGACTGTATTTGTCGACTGTATTTGTGGACTGTATTTGTGGACTGTATTTGTGGACTGTATTTGTGGACTGTATTTGTGGACTGTATTTGTCGACTGTATTTGTGGACTGTATTTGTCGACTGTATTTGTGGACTGTATTTGTCGACTGTATTTGTGGACTGTATTTGTCGACTGTATTTGTGGACTGTATTTGTGGACTGTATTTGTGGACTGTATTTGTGGACTGTATTTGTGGACTGTATTTGTCGACTGTATTTGTGGACTGTATTTGTCGACTGTATTTGTGGACTGTATTTGTCGACTGTATTTGTGGACTGTATTTGTCGACTGTATTTGTGGACTGTATTTGTGGACTGTATTTGTGGACTGTATTTGTGGACTGTATTTGTGGACTGTATTTGTCGACTGTATTTGTGGACTGTATTTGTCGACTGTATTTGTGGACTGTATTTGTCGACTGTATTTGTGGACTGTATTTGTCGACTGTATTTGTGGACTGTATTTGTGGACTGTATTTGTGGACTGTATTTGTGGACTGTATTTGTGGACTGTATTTGTCGACTGTATTTGTGGACTGTATTTGTCGACTGTATTTGTGGACTGTATTTGTCGACTGTATTTGTGGACTGTATTTGTGGACTGTATTTGTGGACTGTATTTGTGGACTGTATTTGTCGACTGTATTTGTGGACTGTATTTGTGGACTGTACTGTGGTGAACAGACGTGTCATGATCCATTTCCTTCTTCCTGGACGGGTCCAGATCACTGGTCTGTGTTCAAGTGTTACTGGAAACATTAACAGGTCATTACAGTGTCCAGTTTCACAGCCGCAAGACACAAAAGCACACACTGTATATACTGTATATATGGAGTAGTACACACATATATACAGTACATGTGTGTACTACTCCGTGGGAGTTCATCCTTGTTGTGTCTTTGTTGCAGTTGTAAACCTGAGCTGATGGTTAGTGGGTCAGGGTCACCTGGTAACAGTGAAAAGTTAAACCTGACTGAAGTGATAACACTATTTGCTTTATTTGCTCTTTTCCTGCTGCACACACACACACACACACACACACACACACACACACACTGTATCCACTTCAATGTCAGGGTTGATCAGAGGAAACATCTAGAATGCAGACGATCACTGACACAGGTGTGAGAATCAACAACTGTGGATCAGTCTGAGGTGTTGGACCACCGTGGTGCAGCGGTTAGCACGCAGAGAGAGTCCTGGGTTTGATTCCCCAGAGGACTGACCATGTTACTCCTCCTCTGTGAGTCACTGTGGATCAAAGCGTCTGCTGAACATGTAAACGTAAACGTTTGGGACTTCAGTCTGAGCCGAAGTGTTGATCAGAAATCAATCAAACCAACGCCGTCGTCCTGTGTCTGTTTACATTATCTACTCAGGAAAAAACATGCTGCTGGAAACGACCTCGCCACAAATACTGAAGGTAGATGGAAAAAAAGAGAAGGACGAAGGGGACGTCCGTGTTTGAAGGTGATCACAGCTTTTATCAGTGGCCAAACAACGGCACGCGGCCGAGAGCAGCGGCAGCTGCATTTGCATTCGAAACACAGACAACAATAAGGAGGTCGAGGTTTCAAAGCAGCTCAGAGCCCTTCATATGGTTGGTACTGATTCAACAAATGAGCAGAATTCAGTCAAATACAAATAGTTCTGCATATAATTCACAGGAGTCCAGCTGCTGCTGCTGCTGCTGCTGCTGCTGTGATGGACCTCTGCTCATCTGAAGGAACATCTGAGGAACATGAATTATACATATAATTATTATACCACGCAGTACATACAGTAAGTGTGGTACTGTGTGGTACTGTGTGGTACTGTGTGGTACTGTGTGGTACCAGCACCAGCAGAACAACTGGGTGAGGATCCATTTTTGAAGAGGCCTGTTCCTCTGTGTCGTCACAGACGTTAAAGATTCACACAGTGAGAGCTGGACATCAGAGCTGATGGTGATATTTATTCACATTTTTATTTTAATACTATTATTAATAAAAGCTCTTCAAAGGTAAACTCCTTCACTGTGTAATCAGACACGTGAGCTGCGGCCTTCCTGTAACGTTAGCCTTATTTGATCCTCCTCCCGTCAATAACACCAGGCCACAGAGGAGGACGAGGCCGAGGCGTTTAATCCTCTCATACGTCACAGCTAGAACCAAGATCATTTGTTTAATCAAACTCCAAGCAGCGTCCGTTCACTGTGGACAGTAACACAGGAACATGACACCAGGGTAAAGAATTACAGCGGTGAAACCACAGCAGCAGCCAGTAGAGGGCGCAGCTCTGACTGACTGACTGACTGACGGACTGACTGACTGACTGACTGACTGACTGACTGACTGACTGACTGACTGACTGACTGACTGACTGACTGACTGACTGACTGACTGACTGACTGACTGACTGACTGACTGACTGACTGACTGACTGACTGACTGACTGACTGACTGACTGACTGACTGACTGACTGACTGACTGACTGACTGACTGACTGACTGACTGACTGACTGACTGACTGACTGACTGACTGACTGACTGACTGACTGACTGACTGACTGACTGACTGACTGACTGACTGACTGACTGACTGACTGACTGACTGACTGACTGACTGACTGACTGACTGACTGACTGACTGACTGACTGACTGACTGACTGACTGACTGACTGACTGACTGACTGACTGACTGACTGACTGACTGACTGACTGACTGACTGACTGGCTGACTGACTGACTGACTGACTG